GGCCAGGATGGTCTTGATTTCTCGACCTCGTGATCTGCCCGCCTCAGCCTCCCAAAGTGCTGGGATTACAGGAACTTTTTGATTTTTTGTTAAGAAGAGGTCTCACTGTGGTGCCCAGGCTGGTCTTGAACTCCTGGACTGGAGCAATCCTCCTGCCTCGGCCTCCCACAAGTGCTGGGATTACAGGCATGAGCCACCATGCCTGACCATATTCACCCTTTTAAAGTGTACAGTTCAGCGGTTATTCATATATTTATAAACTTGTGCAACCATTGCCACTATCTAATTCCGGAATATTTTCATCACTCCAAATAGAAACCCTGTACCCATGAGCAGTCACTCCCCATTTTCCCTCCCCCAAGTCCCTGGCAACCACTAATCTACTTTCTGTCTCTATGGATTTGCCTATTCTGGACATTTCATATAAATGGAATCATACAATATGTGGTATTTCGTGTCTGACTTCTTAAAATACTGATTTTGTTTGTTTTGGAAATGGGGTTTCACTACGTTGTCCAGGGTGGAGTGCAGTAGCAATTCACAAGCTTCATCGTGACACTCTATAGCCTTAGCCTCCCAAGTAGCTAGGACTACAGGCACTTGCCACCTTGCCCAGCTCTTAACCCTGCCTTTAGCTCCACCTTTTTTTTTTTTTTTTTTTTGAGACAGGCTCTCACTCTGTCGCCCGGACTGGAATGTAGTGGCATGATCTTGGCTCACCGCAACCTCCACCTCCCAGGCTCAAGTGATTCTCTTGCCTCAGCCTCCCGAGTAGCTGGGATTACAGGTGCACGCCACTACTGCCCAGCTAATTTTTGTATTTTTAGTGAAGATGGGGTTTCACCATGTTGGCCAGGCTGGTCTTGAACCCCGGACCTCAAGTGATCCACCTTGGCCTCCCTAAGTGCTCAGATTACAGGCGTGAGCCACTGCACCTGGCCCAGCCCCGCCATTTATTATTCATTTTTCAAATCCTAAGGTTGTATTGCTCTTCTCCAATCGCATTCTGCATTCATTGCATATCCTTTTCCTCCTCTTGAGCTGGTTATGCCGCATGACAGACAGACTTGTCTGTCCATTCAGGCCTCTCACAACTGTCATGTCTTTGTGAAGTGTCGTAGGTGTTCTCTAACCCCAGAGGGTCTCATTTCCCTTTCCCAGACCCCTCCTTTATTTCAGCTGGTGGTGCTTATTATTATTTTATTTAGTTACTTTGAGCCAAAGTCTGGCTGTGTTGCCCTAGCTGGAGTGCAGTGGCGTGATCTCGGCCTATTGGAACCTCTACTTCCCAGGTTCAAGCGATTCTCCTGCCTTAGCCTCCCACCTAGCTGGGATCACAGGCGTGCACCACCATTCCCAGCTAATTTTTGTATTTTTAGTGGACCCCGGGTTTGACCATGTTGGCCAGGCTGGTCTCAAACTTCTGACCTCAAGTGATCCACCCCACCCCCCTTGGCCTCCCGAAGTGCTGGGATTACAGGCATTAACCACCACACCCAGTCTATTATTATTATTTTAATACATTTACTTAATTTTAACCTTCCTGCTGCACTGTGACTGCCACAAAATCACCATTTTTAAAAATCCTTAGCCTACAGCCTTTAGCATAATAAGTGCTCAACAAATATTTGCTCATTTGCATGGCATTGCTGTAACACAGTGGCTCCAAGTCGGGGACAATTTTGTCCCCTAGGGGACATCTGGCAATATCTGGAGACAGTTTTGGTTGTCCCGGGGGCGTGGAGGTGGCATTCTTCTGGCATCTAGTGGGTAGAGGCCAGGGATGCTGCTAAGCCCCCTCCAATGCATGCATAGGACAGCCCTCACAGCAAAGAATCATCCTGCCTAAAATGTCAATAGTGTCAAGCTTGAGAAACCTTGCCATAAGCTAATTAGTGCTCATTGTGAATAGGTTAGTAAAAAGAAACCCAGAGAGGTCAATGTACTAGTCTGGCAGAAAATCTCACTAGGAAATGTCATGCCTTCTTTTTTGTTTGTTTGTTTTTTTGTTTGAGGAGCAGAGGGTGACTTTGGTGCAAAGCTCTTTCCTAATGTCATAGAGGTGCCCTGGGAGCCCAGATGTATTTTCACCACACTTGTTCACCTTTAAGAGTGGCAACTGACCTCTCAGGAATCCTTGAAGTGCTAGGAATGTAACTCTGTTAAGGAAGAAAACTCAGGCCTTTTTAAGTCCAGCAAAATGTCAAATGTGAATTGTGTTCCTGGGAGAGGGAAGGGGAAGGGAGGTGTTTTATACAGTACCCTCTCCTGGCTTCCCCCATGGTGATGAAACTTCAGAGCTGGCTCTGGAATAAATGATTCAAGGGAACCCGAGGCCCTATCTCCTGTTCTTTTAAAACTTGCAAAGGAGTTTTGAGAAGGATTCTGTTCGCCACATGCTTCTGTGGGCAACTCATTTGCAGGAAACTCACTTGCAGGAAATTCATTTGCCGGAACTCAAGGCACTGGTATCACTTAATCATAAAAACAGCGGCCCCATCGGAGCAGAAGTTACTGGCTTTAGAGTCACATCTTAGGTTCCTACTCATCCCATCAAACCGGTTCTTGTGACTGACACGGAAATTAGGTAATATATGCCCTGAAAAGGAAAAGTAGGAGCAGTCTGAAGGAGTTTGACGAGGCAAGAAATAGGGTTGACATGCTATTTTAAAAAGTTTGTCCTTGGGGTAGAATTACCTGCCAGGCTGACTGGGATCTGGTAGTGGTGTGTATACTTGAAAGAGCTACCTTTAGCACAGCTGGCAGAAATATAAATGCCAAGTAGAGGATTCCGAGAGGCACTACCCCCTCTTCTGGGAACTCTCCAATTCTTGCGCCCTTAAAAAAAAAGCAAGGTGGGAATGCATTATTGTCATTACTATGCCATTTATCCAGTAAATGAACATTTTCTGGGTTCTGTATATTTGACAAAATGCCACTAGGTGAAGTCATTTCTTCAGTCCAATTTTGATGAAAGCCCTTAAAGACAGAAACATATAGAGAGTACTTGGCACACTGTGAACTGCAAAAGTGTTTAATGATGACAGTAATTAGGATAACAGAATAATGTGTGTTGAGTTGATAGTTGGCAGCATTTAAAATATATTAAGAAAGCATAAAAAAGGACCACTTAAAAATAAGGTGGGAATCCCCAAAGTAACAATGGTCTTGTCAAAAGTGAACTGGAAAAAGACTGCTGTTTCTGAGAAATACATGTTTCAATCAAACTAAAAATTACTCTAAATTGGATTAGTTGCCCCAAAGCTCATTTTCTGTTGTTTGTGAACCCCACTCACTCAATCATTCCTGTATTCAGCAAACATTACTTTCTTTTATCATTTGTGGTTCTTATTCCATTATTCCTTCTTTTTTTTTTTTTTTTTTTTTAGATGGAGTCTAGCTCTGTCTCCCAGACTGGAATGCAGTGGCGCTATCTTGGCTCACTGCAACCTCTGCCTCCCAGGTTCAAGCGATTCTCCTGTCTCAGCCTCCTGAGTAGCTGGGATTACAAGCGTTTGTCACCAAGTCCAGGTAATTTTTTTTTTTTTGTATTTTCAGTAGAGACCACGTTGGCCAGGCTGGTGTCGAACTCCTAACCTCAAGTGATCTGCCCACCTCCGCCTTCCAGAGTGCTGGGATTACAGGTGTGAGCCACCACACCCAGCCTATTATTCCTTCTTTTATTCCACAGACATTTACACATTCTCCTACTGTGTGCTAGGCATTGCTTTAGATTCTAATAATTCAGCAGCAAATGATCCTTGTCCTTGGGAAACTTAGAATCTAGTGAAATATTCATTCATTCTTTCATTCATTCACATATTTACTGTGTGCTTACGTCTTCTGGGGATATAGCAACAGAAAACACAGGACCCTCAGATAAACGAATTACATTCTAGAGGGTAGAAGGGAAAGCAAGGGCAAAGGTCTTGAGGCCCTGTGAGCATGGCTAGAGGCCAGTTAGCAAAAGGGACATGACACCACTTGTGTCCCCTCCCACTCTGATAGGGACACATAACATTTTCTCAATTTTTCCTAAAAGACTGTACAAAAAGTCTCTTCTTTCCAGACAGTTTGCCGGCCTAAATCCTTCCAGTATATTACTTGGGGAGGTGTCACTAGATCTGTGTACCTCTGTTTCTCATTATGTGACTCCATTCTGGTTTCTTGCAGGTTTTTGTTTAAAGGAATGGTGGCGTTATTTATTTAAAACAGGCTTTAAAAGATACGGTTAAAACAGGGGAGAAAACCCTCACGTGGCCCACCTACAATTCCTACTAACTTAACACAGGTCCCGGGTTTGGGGGATCCTCCTAGGTCCTAAATCTTTGGCAGCCAAGTCAAAAGTGACTACGACTCCGGGACTATAATTCCCAGGAGACACTGCGTTCGCACTCTCTGCGCATGCTCAACCTTGGTGACGACATAAGGCTGAAAGCCCG